ATACCGCATGTTAATTCAAATCATCATGGCCTTCGGAAACCCTTTCTCTTTAAATGGGTACGGTAATGGCCCAGGAATGTTTTGATAATCGTATGTCTACAATGTAGTTAATAAATTAGATTGTTAGAATTCGTCTGATATCAAAACATGCATATTATAATAATAATAAATGACGCACATGTCAACGATTAAAATTGCATCTTTATCAAAAGAAAATGCCTCGAGAAAATTATCTCTAAAAGCAAAATACGGAACGGCTAATTTCATTCAATACACTGACATTTTTTCTATTATATAATAAATAATTTATAAAGACCTCTAATTACTTTGACAATATAGAATAATTTGAAAGCACAAAGTTAATACAGGCACTGAGTCAATAATTCAAATATGGAAATGCCGTATGTGTTTCATAAGTAAGGTTATAAGCAATAACGATTCTATAATGATAACGATCGATACCGATAACTCCGAACATTATAAATTCACCACAAAAAGACATCGAGAGGATTAAACATCAAGAGGCCTAGTACTCAAAGTGCCTGAACTACATTGTGTCTAATGGTTAAGGCATACACACGCTGTCTTCAAAGTAAAATATAAGTATAGAGAAAACTGGGACTAAAAATGAGGAACAGAAAGGAATCGGTGCTAAACTATAAAAAAAAACAAGCAAACAAAATATAAAAGGGAGAAAATTGGCCTAAAAGTAGAGAATACAGAAATGAAGACCGTGCTGCAAATGTTTAAGGTGGTATCAAACACCTTGACTAAAATTAATTCGGCTCGTTTAATTTTCATAAACAAAATGACAAAACATTTACTTTAACCCTTTGCTCATGTTGACAAAAATATAAAAATTTCAAAAAATGTTGAACCACAAACTTTATCGGAAAAATTTATATAGCAGTTTGACAAACACTAATTTTGATCATTGAGAAGCTTATTAATATTTCCTGAACAATAGAACGTGATTAAAACGTTCAGCTGATTTTTACAAAGTTACCTCCCTGTAGTGTTATGTACCACTTTAAAGATATTTAGAAATGAAAGTTTTAAGATATCGATAGTTTTTGACCAAAATGATGGACCATGAGAGTGAAACGAGATTTGATAAAGATGTTCTTGGGGAAAATAAAAAAAAAAATATGTGGATAACGAAAAAGTATCTTTTTTTCATATCTTACGTAAATGATTGTATTTGTATTTCATCACGTACTTGAAAATATTGATGTTCGATTACAAACATGAATAGAAAAATCTATACGCAAACATCGATGTGGTCGATTTTCCACTTCTGAATATTTAGTTTCTTTTTTAAAAATTAACACCAAAGTTCTCTTTCAGGAGCAATATTTATTAGATTGACGAAAGCAATATATTAAACTTTAGTCCCGTTAGCAATTGAGCACTTACACATACATAATATTGTATGTTTTATGTTAGCTTCAAAAGGCAATATGCATTTAATTTGTGAACACTCGAAATTTATACAAAAGAGATGCACTTTGTCGTTCTGAAGAATATATAATATATAGATATGTACGTCTAAATATGTGACAACTTTACGACAGACGTTCTCCATCGGCAAATCTGTGATCGCCATAATTTATATATACTTCGTCTAAAATTTAGCACAACAACGTTAGATCTGCAAATTTGCGTTATCCCTCGAACACCTGGTTCCTCTGCATCGTGGCAAAACTGCCTACAATGTGTCCAGCGCCATAGACTACTCGACAAACTAGGCTTTATATATACTAGTCAACGAAAGTAACGATACACAAGTTTGAATTCCAATTTGTCATAAAATATAATGAATAAGAAAAACTTAATTTATCTAATGTAAAATATTCATTTGCTAAGCAAATACATATGATTCCTTAAGAGAATCTGACCAAATTGGAAAGTGAGAAAATACCGTGTTATTGAACACAGAGGTCAAATTTATTTTGCGGAAAATGATGACAAAAGTCGGCACTTAATTTCGATGATGAGAATTAAGTATTCAAATATCTGCAAAGACATTCAAAATTTTAAGCAGACCATGTTTAAGTTTAAAGTTTTAACTATTAATATCGATTTATGAATTTTTGGGTGGAAATACGATTTTTGAAATAACAAAAATTGCAACAAAAACCCCCAAAAAATCGCATATTTGCCTTAAATCAATGGTTTTGAAAAGAAAATAACACTCTGTAAATATTAGACCAATTGGGCAATTATTTACCTTGGTACAGTGTATTCAATTTCATTATATAAGGAAAATACATTGCCATGTATCATTTCTTTTGTTGACTATAGTATAATATAGTTTTCGTTAATCGAGTAATGGGTTTCCTCGTCGGCTTTATTTAGGGTTGTAACACAGGGCATGGTGAATAGTGGCAAGTAAATGTTGTACCTTGCTTATATATATAAACTCTAAATCATAAATGGTCAAGTATTTTATTACGCATTATTCAATTGGTCCATTTGTAAAACGGTCCATCATGAAAGGAACCGTCGGGAGAAGTTATATGAAAACATTTTCTAGGAATGTTTCTGTTTGGATGTCAATTGCATTTTTTTCGAATTAAAAATATGTTGGAAAAGCAAGCAATTCACTGACTTCTTTTCTTTTTTTATGACAAATAAGAATAAATCCAAATCTATGACGCGTAAATCAAAATTCATCATTTTATGTAGTTAAGCCAGACTCGTCGAAAATTAAAGACTTTTCTTTGGTTTATATAAGCGTGTTTATGTATACGAACGCTTGGGTTTTTTTTTTTTGGCGAATATGGGGTGGTTCCAGTTTATAGATATGTACCCACATATCCCGTCATATCAACTGACACTGTACAACATAATGTAGATACGACGTACAAGCTGAAAAATATCTTTCACTTTAATTTTGAAAAAGATATATTAACTGCTGATAACAAAATGTTCCATTTCCACATAGTTGTATCTCTATTGGCTATTTAGAGGTTTGAATTTTAAATAGGCATTTCACAATTCATTATTGAAGACCTTTAGATGTTCTTTGATTTTCTATGTGTGGGTTGCCGTCTCATTGACGTAAATATAGGCTACAGGTCGGGTTGTTGTCTCTTTGACACATTCCCCATTTCCATTCTCAATTTAATACAGTAGTTTACCGTTGTATGAAATCTCTTCAATCGGTTAAGAAGAGGCAGACCGAGGTAACAAATAAAACAAATAAACTGAGGGAATCGCATGAACTCACAACGGACACAGGCCTTGTGGTCATAACCATTTGGAGTACGATCATCGTACTTAGACTCAGACTTCAACCAATCAAAATATTGGATTTGGTATTTCGAGCACAAATTTTGAACTCCGAGTATTGAGTACAATTTTATGACAAAGAGCACTGGTGTGTTGACAGAGTTAGCGTCTCCTGCTAAACATGCATCACCTGACATGCGAATTAATACTCAGTCAAAATGTCAGCATCGGCAATTGGACACAATAAGTAAAACCACAAATCAGACGGCTATATACGTAAAGCCAACATCTTCCATTTATTCATATCAGATGCAGACGAACAGAGCGAACATTAATTATGCATTGAAAAGTTGTTTTTTGATTAATCAAGGACAATCAAACACTCGATCTGACTTCATTTGTATTTTCGTGAGATTAGCATCAAGTCTAATAGTTTCTTTTTAAGCAGAATAATAGGTTTCTGATCGATAGGGAAATGCAAGCGAATGTATAAATTATACCTTTCCCCGGAATAAATAACAATACAAATACATTGTATTACACTGGCAAATTCATTTGATTACACCTGATGGTAATTTTGTATTATTAATATCGTTTTTATAGTCTGAACTTGAGCTCATCTGATGATTTCCTTATTATTACTAGCAATTCATATACAATATATTGTGCATTTTTAGCTACTCACGCATTCTTGTATTCATACATCCCACATTTTCATTGTTTTTAGTTTTGAGCGATCCGGATGAAGGTTTATTATGAAAAGGGCTTCCGACGCACTAAAATTTTATAGTGTTATTTTTATATTTTAACTATTAATGTAGCTTTGCTTTCTGGTCATTTGACGCATTTGAGTTTGATGCCTTTTCACATGTAATAAAATACGAAGCATGTGCTGCCTGTTGGCAATAACATAGTTGTAATCAAATATTAAGTTCAATGTAAAACTTTCTCGTACAGTATTATTTTATCAACATGCACTTCTAATATGCAAATTTTAAATTTATTATCGTTTACATGTATGTAGGAAAATCACAATTTTATCAAGAGTTGACAAAACTTTTAATTGAAGGTAAAAGTGCAATAAAATGGCTCAAGCTTTATGACATATTGCTTTTTGGTTAGTTTTAAGTATCATACTGTGTAGATTGAACAAATTCCGATTGCCGCATTTTCGGTTGTTAACTCGATATATATTCGACCAGTTCATGTTCCGTGTTTTTAATTTGGGTTTCTATATTGAATCTGTCCCGATAATCAATGTCCAGGCTGAGGTTGTGAATTCGAACCCACATGTGGCAGATGTATTCGACTCCGATCTTAATTGACTAGGATTGTCAGTTTTTCTGTCGATGATCGATGGTCCTAGCCGGCAATAAAAACTGACAGCTACGATATACCCAATAGTGCTTAAAGTGGCATTTTCACAAAAACAATCAAACTTTCAATTAGGATGTATTTTTTCGAAGACATTAACTGCAAATCTGACTATTACGTAATTCATGTGCAATGCAGTTGACATTTTAGCACGCACATTTGTTTGTGTTGGTTAAGTGTTTTCTGCATGGTTAGCACTTCAAACGAAAAAAAAACAACATATCTTCCTTTCGCATTTAAACTTGATGGGTATTTTCTCAGTAGCATTCACCAAATGTAGTTACAATGTTAATATCATGTAATATGAATATTATTTTTATATTCTGCAAATGTGTGTCGTATAAATGTAGAGATAAGTGACCATATCTTTAAATGTTGTTTTGTATTTTCAGGTTTCTCAGCAAAGTTTCGATGTATCTAAATTCAAAGAGGTTAACAAAACGATGGTATGTTTATATATCTGTATAGTTTACTTATAGCGGCGATGAGATAAAACTTCAACCGTTAGGGTTTTATCCATATCGTTTTATTCAGTAACCATTTGTTGTTTTGTTGTAATGGTTTTTATTTCTAAGAATAACTGTAGATTGGAGATGTTGTGTTGTAAAGGATGTTTTTGTAAAGGAGCTACCATTTGATTTTTATGGGGGCTAGGATGAAAAATTTTGTCCTGCTTTTTTTTAATTGTAATCTCTGTCCTGTCTTTTTTTTCCACTGTATACGTTCCTGCCCTTTTTTATTAGTTTATCCTGACTTTTTTTTTGGGGCTAAGTTGCTCATCCTGCCCTTTTTTTTACTCAAAACTCCTGTCCTGCCTTTTTTTTTCAAATTTCATCTTAGCGAAACTATTTAACACCTATACGTGCTATCATTCATTACAATTGTCACAGCCGAGACTCAGTAATACATGAATTATCAGTTGGAACCTATTCACAGTGACAGTTTCATGATAATTTAATATATGATATTCCAGGGCTTGCATTTTCGGTCATGATTTCCTTGATAGAGGGTTGCTGCTTACAAGGAAGCTCCTAATCCAAGGGTTCCAAGCGTTGAAGTTGGAGTCATCCCTTCGAAAATGTCACGGATGCCATCACGAGTTGGTTGGCCGTTATAAAATATCCGTTTCACAGATAACGACACATATGTTCCAAATATCGTAACTAAAATCCCGTCATCTTTTCTTTGAATGTGACACCACTTAGTTAGACTTATTGCAGAGTGTTTACTTAAATTAGCAACATGACTGGTGATACATGTCGATCATCACCCACGGTCTTTAGTGGGGATTTGTGTTGCTCAGTATTTAGTTTTCTATGTTGTGTTATGCATACTTTGTTTTTGTATTTGGTCGGTTTTCGTGTATTGCTATGACTATCACATTGTCATCGACTTATGAGTTTGTATAACCTTTTGGTATCTCCTGCCTCTAATTTACTGAGGTTATAAAACTTATCAGGGGCTGCCTTTTGTTGGAACGTTTTTATCTATTGGTCCCAAATCACAGTGACTGTTTTATGATTATTTAAATTGGTTTTAAAACTGTTGTCTGGGGATACCTTTTGCTGGACCTGTTTTCGTAATGAACTGACAGTGGGCGTCATTACGCAATATTAATTCGATTTTCCAATTATTTTTTTAGAGGAAGTTTAGGTTATGCATCAAAATCTGAACGGCTCCGAAAATATCCAAGATTCGTATTCTTACTATTCAATTTTTTCTTCAAACCGCAATTATATAGATTTTGACAAATTTTGAGTATTTATTGCATGAGTGTTTTAGAAACCAAAACCCAAATCCTATTGGCAGTATAGATATATTTTTTGGTTAGCGATGTCCTTCTATGCAAAATCTTACAACAAAAACGTGTACAAATGCCTTCTACAGCAACATTCTGATGATAATCAAATATATAAAAGCTGTTGCTAAATATGTTTAGAAAGTATATGGTATAGACATGTATATCATATTCAATTTTCAGAAGGATTTGACAACATATTTTTACCATCTGAGTGAAACAAAAAATGGGGGAATTGGCCCCACCTCTTTGCCAATGCATAACCGACAGTATAATATCAATTATTAAAAACAACTTATTCTGTGTGTTCTATTTTAACAGTTATAACTCATTTTGTTGTTCTTTTAGTCTGATTTTGTTTTCTATTTTTCTTTTCAGCCAAAAACTGATATTTTTGGACCCGTATCAAATAATGGTGAGTAAATCAATATACAGATATACATTATGTATCATCAGCTCAGTAGTCAGTACATTGGTACTCGCATGATTTATAATATGATGGTGGGCTGTTAATCCCCGGAGGTACCATCAGCTCAGTAGCCAGTGCTTCGGTACTCACATGATATAATATGATGGTGGGCTGTTAATCCCCGGAGGTACCATCAGCTCAGTAGCCAGTGCTTCGGTACTCACATGATATAATATGGTGTGGGATGTTAGTCCCCGGGGTACCATCAGCTCAGTAGCCAGTGCTTCGGTACTCACATGATATAATATGGTGTGGGATGTTAGTCCCCGGAGGTACCATCAGCTCAGAAGCAAGTGCTTTGGTACTCACATGATATAATATGGTGTGGGATGTTAGTCCCCGGAGGTACCATCAGCTCAGTAGCCAGTGCTTCGGTACTCACATAATATAATATGATGGTGGGCTGTTAATCCCCGGAGGTACCATCAGCTCAGTAGCTAGTGCTTCGGTACTCACATGATATAATATGGTGTGGGATGTTAGTCCCCGGAGGTACCATCAGCTCAGTAGCAAGTGCTTTGGTACTCACATGATATAATATGGTGTGGGATGTTAGTCCCCGGAGGTACCATCAGCTCAGTAGCCAGTGTTTCGGTACTCACATGATATAATATGGTGTGGGATGTTTGTCCCCGGAGGTACCATCAGCTCAGTAACCAGTGCTTCGGTACTCACATGATATAATATGATGTGGGATGTTAGTCCCCGGAGGTACCATCAGCTCAGTAGCCAGTGCTTCGGTACTCATATGATATAATATGATGGTAGGATGTTAGTCCCCGGGGTATCATCAGCTCTGTATTTAGAACAAAGGCACTGGCATTATTTTTAACGTTTTAAATTCTCTGTATAAATTTAGCGTATAAAATTATTAATTATTTTGAAACTAAGGTTCCAGCTCCCTCAGGTAAAGTTGACTTGTGTGCAGAATCGTATGCTTCCGTCCGTTCATTAGTATTGTCTATGCAGTCAATGACAACTAGCGGGATATTGTTATTCTATTTTGTTTTATTTTTGGCCACAAAGCTCCTGACGTGTTTAGGTATCTTTCATCCCTAGGCCTGGTTTCCTCTTTCATTATTTCTTTTAAAAAACACTGAAAATTAATTATAACATCACTGATCAACTGTTACACAACTGTTACACAAGATCAATTTCCTTTCAGTTGCAAAAAAATAAGTAATGACCTAAGTGTCATTTTTTTAATTGAGTGATGATTTTTCGTTTTACAGATGACATAATATAAGCAAGGACATGTACTTTGAAATTTGAATAATCGTTAAGCATACCTTCGATGTTCTGGGAATTGTAATGAGGGGCCTGATGGGGGGATGGCGGGGGGGGGGGGGGGGGGGGGGGGGGGTGGTCTCATCACGATTCACGAGTTGATTTTTTTGTCAATAACGATTCACAGAAAATAAATTTCCATGATCACGGATCACGAAAATATAAAAAAAAAAAAAATCTGTAGAAAAACGGATCACGATAGCGAAAATGCGCCGATCACGAAGAACGAAAGTAACCCATCAGGCCCCTCTGTAATGCTTGACAAAAATAACTAGTTTCCATATTTTGAATCGAGATATGTATTATTCTCGTACAAAAAGTACATATACAACATTAGGTCAATGTCAGAAATTTAAGTAAAAACTTTTTTTGTATGAGGCTGAAAAACTTGGGAAGGGCGAGGTTTTACCGAGGCCTTCCCCAGTTTTGTGCCGAATACAAAAAAAGTTTATATTTTTCTGACATTGACCTAATATTGTTTTTATACTGCAACTTCAATTAATAGTATAAGAATAAGAATATTTATTATCTAATCAAGGGCCCTTGATGGGCATAACATGTACACATAAAACAATACATCATGATTTAACACATTAATAGCTTTTTGAATTGTACTACAAATTTCAAACTTATTTTCATCCCTAAATGAACCCCTGATTGTGGAAAAAAGTGATCCATGATGAAACTGACAATGCACAAAATATAGCTTTGTTACTATATTTAGGAAATAAACACAACTAGTTGCAGTATAAAATGGTAAAGAGACATGCACAGATAAATTAACATACATTTTATAAAATATAGATACACATTGTTATGAGTTACAATTTATGACTAAAATCAGCAAAGACCCATCTGGACAACATCTGATTCAAAAATTTAATAACACTTTTAGATATTTAGATGATATATTGGCTCTCAATAATGACGACTTCAGTATGTACACTAAAGAGATTTATCCTGCCGAACTGACTTTAAATAAAGCTAATACTAACAATGAACACTGCCCTTTCCTGGATCTTGATATCTATATCTTTAACGGGAAGCTTAATACAAAAAATTATGATAAAAGAGATGATTTTTCATTTCCTATCGTTAATTATCCATTTTTATACGCCCGTCAAATTTCTGACGGGACGTATTATGGTATACAAATGTCCGGCGTCCGTCCGTCTGTCTGTCTGTCCGTCCGTCGTCTGTCCTTCCGTCTGTCTGTCTGTCCGTCCGGCGTAAACATGTCGCACCGTCACTTGAGAATGACTTATCCAAATTTCATGAAACTTAACATAGTTGTTTCTTATGATGGTTGATGGTTAAACGATCTGTATACTTTTTGATGATAATAAGATTAAAACTTTTTGAGTTACGGGACTTAGTAACTAAAACAGGTGTGTGTTTTTTTCCACATGTCGCGCCGTATCTCAAAAACAATTTATGATTATTGCTTAAAACTTTACACACTTTTTAGTTATATTAATCTTAAGATCTGTATACTTTTTGGTGATGATTCAAAATTTTATTTTTGAGTTATTGAGTATTTTGTAAAAAAGGGGGAGGGGTTTTTCACATGTCGCGCCGTATCTCAAAAACAGTTTATGACTATTGCTTAAAACTTTACACACTTCTTAGTTATATTAACCTTAAGATCTGTATACTTTTTGGTGATGATTCAAAATTTTATTTTTGAGTTATTGAGTATTTTGTAAAAAAAGGGGGAGGGGTTTTTCACATGTCGCGCCGTATCTCAAAAACGATTTATGATTATTGCTTAAAATTTTACACACTTCTTAGTTATATTAATCTAAAGATCTGTATACTTTTTGGTTTTGATTCAAAATTTTATTTTAGAGATATTGAGTTTTTTGTAAAAAAAAAAGGGGGGTTTTCGCATGTCACGCCGTATGTCAGAAACTATTTATGCTTATTGCATAAAAATTCACACACAAGACGACGGGCGTATATGCGCTCATGGCGCAGCTGTTTATTAGATGGTGACGTTACCTTCTCATCATCTTATGGTGTTTATATATCTCAACTTGTTCGATTCGCTCTAGTATGTAACAACGTATTTGATTTCAGCGAAAGAAATCTCTGTATTACTGAAAAATTATTACACCAGGGTTTTCGATATCACAAACTAGTCAAAACATTTACTGAATTTTATCAAGGACATCATTCGTAAATATAAATCAACATGTAGACATCTTATACGTTCAGGTATTTCACATCCAATATCTTATGGTAATATTCTTTACAAAGCACAAAAATGTCGGCATTCACCGCAAAAGCTAACCAAACCTTTAAACAGACTTAATCGGAAAGGATATAGTTACAATACTGCTGTCAAGTCATTAAGGATTGCATATTTTGGTATTAATATTGATTCACTCATAGGGTCTTTGCATCGGAAATAAACACATTTATTTTAAAACCAGTTGTTGGCATGAAACGGGTTATGTTCTTTTCATTTATTTTATGATGGTATGATACTAAACCCCTAACGGGAGGGATTGTACTTGATTTTCATATGATGAAGACATAATCTTTCAATCAGTTCAATTAAGGTCTGGAGCTGGCATGTCAGTAACTGCTAGTAGTCCTTTGTTCATTTATGTATCATTGTCATTTTGCTTGGTTTCTTTTGTTACCTATTTTGACATCAGACTCGGACTTCTTTTGAACTGAGTTTTACTGTGCGTATTACTATGTGTTTCTTTATTATACATTGGCTAGAGGTATAGGGGGAGGGTTGAGATCTCACAAAACATGTTTATCCCCGCCGCATTTTTGCGCCTGTCCCAAGTCAGGAGCCTCTGGCCTATGTTAGTCTTGTATGTTTTTTAATTTTAGTTCATTTATATGTTTTGGAGTTTAGTGTGTGTGACGTCCATTTTCACTGAACTAGTACACTATTTTATTTAGGGGCCAGCTGAGGACCACCTCCGGGTGCGGGATTTTCTCGCTGCGTTGAAGACCCATTGGTGGCCTTCGGCTGTTGTCTGTTCTTTGGTCGGGTTGTTGTCTCTTTGACATATTCCCCATTTCCATTCTCAATTTTACATGCAAGGTAGAGACTTTAAGTTGGTACCCATGAGATTCTAGGCTTTTCTTTAAGGATGTTCGCTACTTTGTTTCAAAATAAAAAGCTTTTAAAAAGACTGTTATAAATTTATGGTATATGAATAACGGAACTTAAAAAGCAGAAAAAAATGAAGGGTCAGTGTCCTTGTTTTTGAGATATAATTATATATATAAGCAATTGAAAATTTGGCGGGAAATGATTCTCTCTAGATTTTTCATATATTTAAAATTGGCAACTTTTTTTCCTTTTGAAAACTTTGAAAAAATAACAAGGAGTTTATAAGATTTTCAAAAGTGGCTTCATAAACTATATGTAATGAAATGATGAAAAGAAAAGTAGGGGTGAGCGGGGATTTTTTTTTATTGGCACTACATGGATAAAACTAGAGGATTCCAATTATCTGACAAAACGTCAAAAACAAGAGTAGAGGACATCATTAACTGGTGACATAAAGTAAGGTGCTTATTGAGTACACCTTGAACTCCCTGAGAATTGTAATGCATGACCATAAAATAATTAACTAGCTGTCATTTTTTAAATAGGAATGCATGTATTATTTTCGTTAACAATGGTATAA